GGGGTAAGTGGAGGTATAAAAGAAAGGAAAGCGCAACAATAACAGAAAGGCGATAAGGACCGGTTTCTGGCGTGTCTTGTCTCTGGGTTTTCTTTTGTTTTCTTCTTCTTTATCTGGAATTGCACGGCGTTGGGAATTTAAGAACATGCTTTCTGCGCGAAGCAGATTTCGTGCTTTTTAACATTCGTAATAAATAAGTAAAAGACAAACAACCAAAAATTAACCATGAACGTTTCTCGACTTCCTGAACCATGTTTATTTTACTCTCTCTCTCTCTCTCTCTCTCTCTCTCTCTCTCTCTCTCTCCCTCCCCCTCCCCCTCTCCCTCTCTCTCTCTGTATCGGTATTCACCTAGGCTGTCGTCCAAAGAGCAGATTTGAACTATCAACAATGCCTTCCGAAGGCCCCGTGGTGACAAAAATGAGATTGCTCGCGGAATCACTTCTCAAATTCCTTCGGCTTTGCCCAGTTGGCCAGTCAGTATAATATTAGTGTGAGAGTCCGTTGAGAATACGTTAATATCTAGATCTAGGCATAGCAGTTAAAACTCTCACGTTATGCAGTTTGCCAGTGGAGCCAACAACAACCCACCTATAGGACAAGGGACGACTCACGGTGTGTGTGTGTGTGTGTGTGTGTGTGTGTGTGTGTGTGTGTGTGTGTTGTGTGGTGTGTTGTTTGTCTCTTGGTTTCAAATGTATGTACGCCTGTAGTGTTTAGGGGTTGAGGCCTTAGTTCAAATAGGGGCGGGGCGAAGGCAACAGCTCGTGACATGAGAAAACAATGTTTTGTGAGCGAATTTGAGAGAGAGAGAGAGAGAGAGAGAGAGAGTGTGTGTGTGTTGTTGACCTCAAAGAGAGAGAGAGAGAGAGAGACTGTTGTTCTGGCAAGGATAAAGCGCTTGAGTTTCATTGTTATTGGCACAATACATTGGTTGTTGGCCTACTTGTTTGTAGGCAGATTTGGGACGGAGAGAAAAAATGTTCAGAATAAGTTGACAAGAGATTGGAAATAAGTCAAAATTGAATATAATCACTGTCTTTTTGGCTTTAGTTGATGTGTCGTGTTTTGGATGCGTACGTGTGTAGGCTTGGTATCGATAACCCTTCTGTTGTACTTTAGTCTTTCGTTATCACAACAGAAGACAGACAATGTATGGCTTTTATAAATGTGCATGTGTGTTGTGTTGTGTCGTGTGTGTTCGTGTGTATGTATGTGCGTGTTTTTTGTGTGTATGTGCGTGTGTGTCATTTCAT